AAATAAAAAAAAAAAAAAAAAAAAAAAACGAAAAAACAGTAAAAAAAATTTTTTTTTGGATAGTGACAGACAAAAAAATACACTATCTGTAGTGGTGCCATTGCACATCCAACTCTTGATTTCAGCTCAGATTGTGATCTCAGGGTCGTGAGATCAAGCCCTGCACGGGGCTCCATGCTCAGTGGGGAGTCTGCTTGGGATTCTCTCATTCTCCCTCTGCCCCTCCCCCCACTCTCTCTCTCAAATAAATTAAAAAAAAAAAAAAAGAAAAAGAAAATACACTATCTATAGGTGATACTACAGGAGGTTTGCCCTTATGATAAGGCTCACCCTTACCAACTCCTTAAGGGCAATGGTTAACATCCTGATCTGAACACAATGAATGCTCAATAAAGCTACAGTAAATAAATGTATTTAAGAGGAATTTTTATTTACTTCATATGCTTTTAAAATTATCTCTTTAGAAGAGCTGTCTAAGAAGCTAAAAGGAACCAGCGAACAAGGCTTTGGGCTAAGTCACTGATTGAGAAGGAGGACGTGCTTCCAAATCTGCCTTGAATAATTAGCACCATTTCCTAACCCGGGTAGGAGCCAACTGTATCCATTCCTGAGACTGCAGAGACAGGAGCCCGTCTGCCACGGACAGCACACTTATACACCATGGCAGGTCTCGGAAATGGAACAACTATGACAAGTCATTTACTGGATAGCTGTGTCCCATGAAGGCCTCAGGAGGCCAGGCATGCTGGCAGCTCTGGCCTGGCACGCACAGGGCTATGCCAAGGGGAGACAAGCATGGCAGGGGTGGAAGGCTTAGTGGGGCTGCTCAGAGACACCTCAAGGCCTAGAAAGACAGGGTCTGCAGAGAGGAAGACGTCACCTCTGACTCAGTTAACATTTCAGGAGTGGGTGCAATTCTCAGCCCTCAGGAACAGGGGCCAGAGGATCACTGAGAAGCGGGGTGGCAACCAGGCTGGCATTTGGAATCCACAGGCTCCTTGTAAGGCCTGGGAGCACCTTCGCAGGAGACAGGCCCAGGGGAGAGTGGTCCCCACAAGGAACATGGTCCTGCCGCATTTGTTTGAGCAGCACAGCTTGCTTTAAAACAAAGTACTGCTCCGTTCCATGGAGCATGTTGATATGAGACCATAAACAAACCACAAATCTTTCTGAATTCGGAAAGATTGTGTAACAATCCTATGTAAAAAAAAAAAAAACAAAACAAACCCCAAAACACTCTTCACATATCGCCTGAATTAAAACAGGGTCTATTCTATCATCGAAATGGCAGAGTAGCCACAGGGAGAGGAAGGAAGAAAGACCAGGGAAACAGCTTAGGGAAAGATTTGAGTAAAATTATCCCTCCTCCAAGCTGTCCAACCTCAGGGGGTTTTCCTCTGCAGGCTCGCGTGAGGTGGAGGAGGCTGGGGCTTCTGTCTGCCCGCTTGGGGCTGCTGGTGGGGCTGGCCGCAACTACCTGACCATCATCCGAAAGGCTCGAGTTGCTGGAACTCTTACAGGAAATTAATGGAATAAACCCAAGAGTGCACTCTTCTCTTGACTATCCTATTCCAGAGTTTTTAACACACAGGCTCAGACCTTCTCTCCCTTACTCAGGGCTGAACAGAGTCCCTCTTTCAGAACATCTCCATGTGCCTTTCAGACCTAGAAAACACTGGGCTTACATCCCCTGTCCCCTGGTATAGAGAGACCATCTTCATCCTATGCGTCTGCGACCCTTGACCCTCCACTTTTCACTCACTCCGGTCCTCACAGAGCTTTTCCAGAGCTGGCCAAAAGTGCGACTCAGAACCCAGCCCATCCCTTAGCCGGGCAAACTGGAAGTCCCAAGTGTAGACTCAAGAACAGGTGCCACTCACCCGTCCCAACCCCCTCCTTGGGCACATGCCTACCTGGGGCTTGTCGGAAGGAAGGTTGGGATGCACACTTCTGTAGCCCTTGGCGGCAAGTGAGGAGGGCTGGGCGTTTCCATTGGCATCCGCATTGGAAGAAAGCCTCCACTCATCTGAGAGATGGGGGGGAAAAAGAAAGAAACCCCTCACTCAGAGGAACACTCCCTGCTCCCCTCTAACCAAAGTCCCAGGCCGAAGATGGAGCAGAAAGAATGCGAGAGAAGTCCTACCTGCTGAGGGAGTCTCTGAGTCCAGAACTACGTGTGGTGCAGAAAGGAGGAAAACAAAGAGAAAAGGGGGCAAACAGAAACGGTTACACTTGCAGGAAACAAGCATGTACCGCAGAGAGAGAGGAAACTCCAGCACCCCGTTGCCAGACACAAAATGCCCTCAGTCACGACGGCCTAATTACCATAGGAACCCACTCTAACCCATGATGTGCTCACAGGCGCTGACCTTTGAGAACACAAGGCTCACATTCACAGTAATGAAGAAACAATTGTTCCTTGACATTCTTATTTTACGGACAAAAAGGCAACAGAACTCTCTCCTGCCTGGTCGCTAGTAACTCCCATTCCCCTTCTCCAGTCCTGCTGTGGGCTCGGAATGACCTCTCCTCATTAGCAGGCCGCGCTCCTGGACACGGGCGAGGAAGATAAGCAGTTTTTCGGTGGCGACTGGCGCTGGGCTAGGGGGGACAGCATGATTTAAGCCCAGAGGTATTCGCTGTGATAAGGACTTTTTTTTTTCCCTCCCTGTCTGCTTTTCTTCTTTCCACTTAAATGAGCCACATAAACAATTTAAAATCGAATCACCCTGAGTTTTCATCATGCTACAAGGCACCCTTGTCTCCCTGTAGCCAGCTACCACCCCGCCCTCCCAGCCAAGCCAGGCACATCTGAGAGCCCCCTCATACCAAGAGGCAGCAAAGCAGGGGTTACCAGCTTGGCCGGGAAAGCAGCTGGACCTCAGCTCAAATTCTGGATGCACTGCCAATGGGCTCTGTGACCCTGAGCAAATTCCAAGCTTATTTTCCCATCTGAAAAGTGGGGCTAATGTTACCCCGGCTTCCTGAGTGTTGCTCTAAGGATTAATGACAGAATGCATGAGAAATGCTTAGCATGGGGCCTGCCAGAGCTCAGTGTTTGCTATCATCTTCTGCATCATCTCATGTCTATGCTCTCTCCTCCACCTAGCCCAGAGGTCAGCACACTCTTTCCGCAAAAGGCCAGACAGGGAGTATTTTCGGCACCGTGGGCCATGTGGTCTCCGTCGCAACTATTCAACCCTGCTGTCCTAGCACAAAAGCAGCCACAGATCATAGGTACATGAATGAGTGTGGCCGTGTTCCAAAGAATTTTTATTTATGGGCCCTGAATTCTGAATTTCATATAATTAACATAGGCATCTAATACCATTCCTCTTGTGATTTTCCTTTTATCCATTTTTTCCCAAGAACCATTCTTAGTTCATAGGCTGTACAAAGATAGGCATGGGCCGGGTTTAGCCCACAGGCCGGTTTGCCAACTCCTGAACTAGCCCATCCCTTAACTTCCTTCTTTGTGCCCTACCTACTCTTACCTTCCAAGAGAGACGGACACAGCCGCTCTCACAGCCCCAGCCCCATCTCCATGGGGCTCCCTCAAGAGGTGGGCTTTCCAGGTGTCAAGCTGAGATCGATCAATGTCACGGACCATCAACCTAAGTGCCAGACGCTGTTAGTCACTTTTGTACCTATTTCATATTTGATTTCGTCACCCAACAGGTCTGCGGGGGAGATGATCCTTCTACCTCATGGATGAAGAAACAGAGGACAAGGGACTTGCCCAAAATCACACAGCCAGGAAACACAAAGTAATCAGTCTGGGTCTCCGGAATCCAGGGAGGCATCTGCCCACCACTGTCAGCCACCAACCCCACCATCAGCCACCAACATTCCAGGGAAGTGCTGGGAGCCAAAAGGTGGAGGAACAGGAGGCAAGGGCAGAGGTCAAGGTTTCAGGTGATCTGTATCCCAGCACACCAGTCTGGCTTCATCAGAATCAGCGGAGTGCCCACTAGAACGGATTGTCCCGCCGCTGCCGGCGTTCCCCACTCCGTAGATGGGAGGTAAAGCCTGGGACTTGACATTTCTAACACGTTTCCCCGGTGATGCTAAGGCTGCCAGTCCATAGTCCACACTTTGAAAACCATGATAAAAGGAATACCCAAAGAACATCTGGGGTGCCTAGGTGGCTCAGTCATTAAGCGTCTGCCTTTGGCTCAGATCATGATCCCAGGGACCGGGGATCAAGCCCTGCATTCGGCTCCCTGCTTGGGGGGAAGCCTGCTTCTCCCTATCCTGCTCCCCCTCTCGCTGTCTCTCTCTGTCAAATAAATAAATAAAATCTTTAAAAAAAAAAAAAAACCACCATCTTTTTTCTAGAGAACTGTTTTCTGTTAACTTTTAACTACTCAAGTATCCATTGTTGCTTCCTTTCCCCTCTAAAACAGTTTTTACAGCACGTTTCGGTTGTGTTCCCCTTCAGCAGGCTGCTTGCTGCTCACATTTCTGCCACCCCCGTCCGCACAATCCACAGGTTGTCTCCTCTTTCCGATCACACAGCTGGGGACTCTACAGGACTTGAGTTCCATGCACATTACTGCAATGTACTGGCTCCTGCGACTGGAGGCAGGCTGCCAACCACTGTGCATTTCCTTTTTCTCATCTATGAAGTAAGATCTTTACTCCATGGACACCTCACAGGCTTGCTGAAGATCCAGAGATCAGGCATGTGGAGGATCCTAAAAATGACCATTTTTAACACTCACTGTTATAGCATCCATCCAGGTTCCTGGCCCAGGGATTGCCCTCCACATGGCAGGCCCTCAACCACTAGGTGACACAATGTGACCGTGGTCCCCACCCCCTGTATCCATCGACTTTTGCTCTGTCTTCCTTTCTAAGTTCTCTCTTGTCCACCCCTGTCAAGTCATCCCATCCAATGTGTTAGATCGACACACATACTGAACCTCAATGGTTTGGAGCAAGGGGTTACCCCGTGAAGGACGCGGGCGTTCTACATGGATGTGGCGGCACATTGTTTCGCGTGCTCTTTAGTTTTTGGTTGGTTTGCGTCTATTCTGGTGGCGCCGAGAAACAGATGTCTGTCCCTCCACAGCACTGGTCGTGAAGGGACTGCCATTCTGGCATCAGACGGCCCAGTCCAAGTCCTTGCTAACTGCACATCCCGCAGCGAAGGACAGCTTTGCCTAGGAAAGGGGGGCTTGTCTGCTTCTTTTGAGTCATGAGGACCAAATAGGAATCTGTGGCGTGAAGCAAGTGCTTTAGTCAACCTGGACTCCAAAGCATAAGGAAGAAAAGATTCCCCACACAGAGAAATAAGTCAGAGCTGTTGACAGCGGCTATTCGATAAATAGCTTTGAGAACATAATATCCTTGGGATCAACCCTCTTTTTCGTCTTATTCCAAGTCATTAAAACTGTTCCCCTCTCCCTGCCCCAGAAAAGGCAGTTCCCAGGACCTCTCTGGGCATTCCTCTCTTCCTTACCAAAGGAGGCCTGAATTCCCAACATCATCATCCTGTTACCTCGTCTTCTGAACTTTCGAGGTGGGCAGTGGCTCACAGCCATTTGGACCTGAGTGCAGCAGGTGAGGCCTGATGTACATAATTATCAATTATTAACTCTTGGTTGAGGAGGCTGTCAAAAATGCTTCTTTCACAAAGCGTTACCTCACCGCTCCTGGAAGGGGAGGAAGGCCTAGGAAAGTTGGATTCTAGATAGGTTTTGCAGCCCTGAAGAGACTCCGTCTTTCCAGGACAAGTATAATTTCTTTTATCTTTTCCTCTATCTCTTCTTTACACATAACCTTTTGTGGCCTGTGGCCACAGTCTCCTGATATGTTCTTTTATCTCATTCTGTGCTAATTTCATTTTGGTCAACTTTAAAGTTGTGCTGCTGATCAGTTCTTCTTGGGATCTCAGGACAACTGGGTCAGATTCCACATGGTCCAGCAGAGTATCCAAGAATTAGAGGATGTGTTCAAAGTGGGCCTAATAGTGTTCCAAATCTCATTTGTGTTTATTTCTTTTATTCTAGTTGTGTGATAAAGAACAACCTTACCCCAAAAGAGGTCTGACTTTGCTTTCTGACTTCTGGTAGTTAATCTCTAAACCATTGGAATGTCATCCCAATGCGGTCTTTGTGCCAGATCAATAACGTGACTTTGGGGGGGGGGGCGCTCTGAGCCATCAAAATCTCAGCCTCCTAATGGACTGGAGAGTGAGGATCAGCTATGGGAGCAATGGATAAAAATTCTGGACACAACAGCTCAGGAGAACTTCCTGGTTGACAATACTTGGAACATACTGTCATACCTCAGTGCTGGGAACTAATGCATCCTGACTCCCTAGAGAGGTCAATAAAAGGCCCATGCTTGGTTCTTCCTTAGAGCCCATGTTGGGCTTCTTCTCTTGGCTGATACTAATCTGTATCCTCTCCCTGTAATAAACCACAACCATGAGTACAACCATGAGTATAATAGCTTTCAATGAGTTCTTGGAGTCCTAGCAAATCATGAAACCCAAGGGTAGTTTTGAGAATCCCTTCACCTAGTATTTGGTGTCAGAAGTGAGGGTGTTCCTTATCTGAGGGGAGCATCTGCATCCTAGAGATCGATTGGGAAGCCCGGGCTTCGGGTGAAGGCACTAACCTCTGCCTCTGCCTCTAGACTTCCAGCCTCCTACCTCCAAGTCCTGGGCCCAAGCTGTGGCTGTCAGCCCAGCCGTCCCTCCCACAGACCACAACCCAAGTCCTTCTGTCTTGCCCATTTCTCCTGCCTAATGGGGTTTTGGGGAATTTGGGAGTTTTCCATAAGCTGACCCTTTTACTAACAGAGCCCTTAAGAGACTCTTGATAGAAACCAAAGACCTTCCTTCAGCTCCGAGTAGGTTTTTCCCTTGATTCCAACCCAAAAGATTATGTACGTTTCTAGTTTGGCCAAATTTGTGGATGGCTTCCCACCCTTTCCCATCTACATTCTTAGTCCTATGTTAGCTTTATGTCTCAGAAATGGTGAAATGTACATCAGTCCAATAAAATATGAAATAAGAAACAAAAAAAGGGAAGTGAGGGTATCCTCAGGGCTCCTGGGTGGCTCAGTTGGTTAAGCATGTGACTCTTGATTTCAGCTCAGGTCATGATCTCAGGGCTGTGAGACTGGGCCCCATGTTGGGCTCCATGTTCAGCAAGGAGTCTGCTTGGGATTCTCTCTCATCCTCTCCCTCTGCCCTTCCTTCCCTCATAAATTTAAAAAAAAAATCTTTAAAAACAAAAGTGAGGGTGTTCTCTTATGGAAACTTTTCCTTCCGACTTCTTACTTTGGCAGTCATTCTTGCACAGGCATTCATAAGGAGGATTCTGAGTTATTGGGGGTAAAGAGAGTCTTTAACTGGTCCCATGTCAATTTTCTCATGATAACTTTTTGCTACTGCCATTTCTAGAGTGCAAACCTGAGAGTCAAACCAGAGAAAACGTGCTGGTACAGTTCCAAAGCTAACAATGTGGTAAGGACCAGGCAGGAAGGACTGAAGCAAACTGCACAGAATTAACACAAATGGAAGGGGTGAACTGGATTTTGGCTTGTGGGTCAGAACACAGGGATTGATGGTCTTTGGGCTATACTAGACAGGAAGCTCCACGTCATACCCAGCAATGCACTGGGCTCCCTGTCTCTTCTAGAGTAACTAACACCTGACCTGGGGACATGTTACCCTGAGCCAAAAGAGCCAATACCCACACCTGGCCAGGCAAATGATATCAAGAAGCAGGGATAAGGTAATGGGAGTCAGCACTAAGATTACTGCAGTTCTTTCCAGATGCTTCTGATCCAAAAATGAAGGTCCACATTCAGAGTTTAGGAGGTTGGTCAGGAAGCCGTGGCTGGTGATCCAGTGTTAAGCTACCACTTGAGGGCCGGAGTCTGGAGGGTGGGTTTAAACTGGGCAAGTCCAAGGGCTCGTCCACAGGCTCGATCTCACTCCACCTCAGAAAGGACCTCCATCCTCCCAGTGTTCATCTGGATGCACGTGGTTCCCAAATCCACACCCCGAACTCTGAATTTCCAAGTGTCTGTTAAAAACTTCCTCCTAGAAGTCCTGCCCTTGCCTCGAAACTCAGTGTGGCAAATAATGGAATTCAACATCCCTTTCTCTCCCTTCATAAACCACTGTCTCCATGAACACCACAGCCACTCTCCCGGTCACACAGGGGAGGCAGCAGGGAGTCCCACCTCTCCATGCTCCTCACACATACCACACGGGGTCCTGCCACTTCGCTCTTCGAAACGCACATCCACCCTGGCCCCCATTCCTCATTCCCACTGCATTCACGGCCTCTAGCTAAAATTATGGGAAGGCTTTCCCAGGCCTCCGGACGTGCACAACTGCCATAGGAGCTGCCATCAAAGAAAACCTGCAGTGTGCCCGGCTGGGTGCTGAATCTTGGCGTGAAGGAGCTCACTGGACTCCAGCACCTCTACTGAGGTCCTTCCATGTCACAGATGAGGAAACTGACGCTCGCGGAGGTTGAACGAGTCGCCCACATCACAAAGATGGTAAGTGGCGAAGCTGAGCCTTGACAGAGGGCTGTGTCACTACGAAACTAGACCATGTCTCACAGGACGAGGGAGGTGAAGCAAGGACAAGGAACAGGAGATGCGTCTGAAATGGGGGTGTCAATGGGTCACGTAAGCAAAGAAGGTGCTGGGCAGTAATACAAGCCTGGAGCTTCCAGTCTGGGCAACTGCTCAGCAACCTGCGGGCCTGCAGGGAGGGAAGGTGGTGGTAAAGCCAGGGAGCGAGGCATTGAGGAGGCAGACGGAGCAGCTCAGGGACAGACGCTGGCCCCAGTGATAAGGGAGAGAGTGGACGCTACCTGACATCAGCTGTCTGGGAGGGCACTAAGAGGAGGAAGCATGGAGGAGACACCTGTTGCCTCATATTTGGGCTGTGTCTGGGCTGGACCTGGCTGCCTGTCGAGGCGCAGGGACTCCCAGGCTCTGGGACAAAACTGGAGACTGGGGCCGGGGAGGGGGGGCAGGGTGAGGAAGCAAGTTGCCATCCAGAGGCTCAGGTTCACGGAGCTGAGAGGGATGAGAAGAGGGCTGGGAACCACACGGACACAGACAGTCAGGCGCCAGCAGGACACTGGCCAGTGAGCAGTACTGTAAGAGGACAGGATCTCCAGCTGGAAGGTCCCATCTCTAGAGCCCCATCCTTCTTCAAGTTAACAGCAGCGTTAACTCATTTCAGCCTCTTTGGTACTCTTCCCTCTACCCAAACCCAGCTTGTGCCTTTCACCCAAACTGCCCTGGGATGTAATCTTGAATCTGTCCTTGGTGAATGGGATTCTGTTTGTGTCAGGTTAATTCCCCAAAGTTCCCAAGGTCCCAGAGCATGTTGGAAGTCAATACAATCTTGCCCAGGCCCTTCATACTTTACCTCGGAAAGCACGACAGAGGACTAGCAGCCCACGCCTGACTCTTACAGTAAACAGACTTCTGTCTTCATCTGAAGCACCCAGAATTATGCTGCTTTTCCTTCCCTTCTCCCTGTTTCTCACCACAGTTCCCACGGACTACTCAGTGCCCTGCACACAGATGATGCTAAATGAATGTTTGCGACTTGGGAGTCAATGATCTCCACTTACCAGGAGGAAAATAATCTAAGATCGATTTACTGTAGAGGTATGTATGACCGACAGCTCTCCCTTAATTCTTCAGTGTATTCGCATTTTAACACAAGATATTCCTTCACCCAAATTAGCTGTCAGAATTTATAAGATCTAGAATTATTCGGAGGATAGAGAGCTTCCTAAAAGTGCTCAAATCACCGTAAGGTCCTGTAAATCCAAGCCCACAGGAGACCAGTCAGCGCTGTGTGTTAATGCCACCCAACAACCAGGAGGGGGAGCTCCAGGACCCTCTCCTCCCACTCACCCTGCTAATTCCCCCAGCGGTAGGGCCCTGCACTTGATTAAGGTCATTTTATTGAGCCACGGGCTGTAGGTACGGTCTTTTTCTTTCAATTATCCCTGAGGATTCTCTCTTCCCCAAACATCCTTGGGAGCTGGATCTTCCCAGGTAGGCCAGGAGAGGCTGGATGAAGCTAGCCTTAGGAAGAAATGCGTTATGCTTTCACTCCTCGGCCTCACCTTTCCAGGAGGCTAAAGTGGCAGACTGCAGGGGGGCAAAGGCCGGTATAGGTTGAGGGACGTAGGGCCAAGAAGCGACTTTCAGCCTATAGTGCTGGAGGCCACTTATGCCTTCCCTGAGACCAGGGAGAAAGCAGCTCTCCACAAGGCACGACATTACCAGAATGAGTCTCGTGCTCAAACCCTAGCCTGGCTTTGTCCTCAGGCATCTGCCTTGGCGCTAGTTCTAGGCGGCTGGGACAGGAAGTCAGTTTCCAAGATGCCTGGCCACTGACTGGCCCCTTCCTTCAGATTTCCATCTCATCACAAGGTGGGGGGGGGTGCTCCCCACTGCACCCAGGAGTCTGCGTGCCTCACCTCATTTTATCTTCAGTCCCAAGGAAGTGGTCTTCACCCTCACTCCTTTTCTTCCTCCATTTCCTTTAACCCACTGAGCCACCCAGGCGCCCTCTCCATTTCCTTTAGGATGGAAAGAAAAGTCCCCTTCCCTCCAGCAATAGCTCTCAGATGTGATCCCTGGACCTGCAGCATCTCAGCATGACTGGGAATTTGTCAGAAATACAAACCCTCAGACTCTACTTCAGACCTGTCAGTGGGAATAACCATAAATCCTAAAGCCCCAGCCTGGGGCCCAGCATCCTGGCCTTTCACTCCAGGTGATTCTGATGCAGCTCAGGTGTGAGAACCAGCACCCTGTGGAGTGGATTGGGGGGTGAGGGGGCCGGGGCTGCCCCACCCTCAGCTAGCTGTCCCTGGGAAACTTCAGTGTTTCTTAACTCCCAGAACACTTGGGGAGCTCTGGAAAACCCTCTCTAGAGCGGTCACAGTAATCACAGTCATAACCTACTAATAGCGGTTGACCTCTGATGGCTCAGTCCATGCCACTACGCAGGTGCAACACCTTCACACACTCCACGCTCACAGTAATGCTATGAGACGGGTGCAACTATCAAGCCCTTTCTCGAGAGGACACCACTAGGGCCGGGACAGAGAATGTCCTGTCCACAGCTGCACGGCCACAGATACGAACACAGATCTATCGGGTTCCGAAGTCCCAGGTCTCAACGCCACTCTCTAGACACCCCGAATGGTGGAGCCGGATGGGAGATGGGCTGCAGATGGGCTTCTTCTTTGGGCTCCCGGTGCTCCCAGGGTGCAGTGGCCTTGGAAAGGCTCTTCTGATCCTGCTGCTTCAGCTGCCAGGCGGCCTCCCCAGGCCTGAGCCCTGCCCCCCTCCTCTTTCTGGGAGCCAGGTCAGTCAGGCACCTGCATTTCCCAAGCTCCCCTGGTTCCTCCCTGCCTCCACCGCCCCAGCCCTGCTTGGCCACTTACAGCCATCTCGGATGGTCTCTGAGAAACCTAACCTTTAGCCCATCTCACCACTCCCTTCCCACACAGCCTCTGCCCTCAAGAATGTGGTCTGCAGGGCCACCGGGCTGTGATGAGGTTTCTCCTCATCTCCCTGGTCACAGGCTAACCAAGTGGGGCCCACTGCCTCGCCCCTGCCTGAAACAAGTGAGCACGTGTTAGCTCAGGGCACAGCCCAGATGGAACAAGCTGCTGGCTGCTCTAGGGACCTGTGCGAGACTCGGAGACAGCTGGTGAATGCACGCCCTCCCGAGCAGGAGCACAAGGGCCTCTCTCCCTCCCAAAGGGACTCTGAGCCCCTCCCCTAGGCACCGGGGTCACACACCTGGCTTGCTCTCATGCTGCGGGGTTTCCTGAGGGCTTGTGGGGCCGCTGCTCGGGATTTCCCTGTAGGAAGACGAGGCCCGGAGAGTCACCGCTCCCTTCCCCGTGCAGATTTTTGTAGGATCCATGTCTGAAAAGGAAAGATGCAAAAGAGAAGCCTGAATCCGTGGCTCTTGCAGGATTAAAGCAACAGTCAGTTAGCAACTCATAACAGCCAAGGAATGAGATGAACCTGCTTACAGCCACGCCAAGTCTTATGGTCAATGTGATGGTCAATGAGAATTAATTTATGGGTGGAGGAGAGACACGACTCCCATTTCCGGAGGTTTACCACGCATCATGAGGTTCAGGGAGAATGGAGGCAACAGTGAGTTCTGTGTGAGTTATAATTATCAGCTGAAAACATTTCAAAATGAAAGCAGGTTAATTCCTTTCATTAGACGAGGCTTAGGTTGGTGAGTAGACTTCTGACCAATGAGTAGGGAACAATTCAAGAAAGAGTTGATGAGAGATTTCTCCAGCTTCCAGACCATCCTTCTTATGAAAGAGCAAGCTGGAAACATCAGTTGTTCGGGGGAAGAATCAAGTTGTTCTGAGGAAGAATCATCCTCCCTGCAGTTCTCCAGTGGAAAAAGGAAAAGAAAATCTTCTAACCATAAGGCAAGACCCTTAAAATGAAGACAGGATATGCCGCCTGGAGCGAAAGATCACGGGCGAGAGCCTCACACTCCAAACTTAACGAAGAAAATTCACACCAAAGAAAATGACAAGAAGCACCCAATCCTTCAGTGAACAGTGTTCACTGTGCCCCCCACTGAGTCTTCTCTGGGCCCTGATCTTTCCTACAGTTCACAATGGCCTAAGAGCACCCTCAGGGGCATCTTTCCGAATTCCATTGAGAAGGACTTCAAAACAGGATTCCAAAGATCTGGACGCTCATCCTCTAGAAATATCAGGGATGAGGAGTCAAGAAACTGACATAAATCACACAGTTCTAGAAGGCACAGGTTTCCTTCCATTCAGCTCAGCTGAACTGAATGCCACAGTACAGTTTTTCAAATTGCTCAGAGCACAGCCTGGATCTCTGACCTAAAATTGTCAAGACTGGGATTATGGGGTAAGACTTCAGGCGGGCGATGGGCAAGATGGAGGTGCATGTCCCCTCCTCCCCATTCCCACACCAGGACAGCGAGAGGTACGGCCTCCTCTCTCCTCCTTTCCAGTCCAGCAGCCTCTCCAGCAACTTGCACGGAACGACCACTGGTGTTACAGAGGAGAACACATCTGCCCCATCAGCACCTCTTCCCATCGAATGCAAAGCACTGGGAAAATGGATTCTTGGTCCTTTCAGAAGGGAGGAGCTGCAAAATGACAGATCCAGCCTGTCCCAGGCTCCTGGAGGCCCAGCCAGATCATCCCAAGGCCAGAGCGTGCCACTGGGGCAAAGTACCGCTGGGGCCTGACTTGTGCCATTCCACACAGAAGGAAGCCGTGTGTCCAAGCCGGGACCCGACCAGCACCCTTGGTTGGAGAGCAATGGCAGGAAGGGGCTGCAGGTGAACTCGGGGGCTGGGGAGCACAGTGGAGCATCTAGGATTGGCATCTAAAGCACCTGCTTCAAGTTCAGCCCAACTCACAGGCTCCCTGTGTAGGCACATTAATTCTCGGGAGACTGAAGTTTTAAATAAAGTACTGGGAGCTGAAAGCCCCCAGGGAGAGCCAGGTACCATGTGCACCTCCACGTATCACATACCCCATGTACCAGAGCCCCGTGCCTCTGGACTGACCCTTCTCCTAAAGAGAGGACAGGCAAGGCATCTGCCAGTACTTCTCCAGACTCACTAGCTCCCAGGAGAAACACACACACACACACACACGCGCGCGCGTGAGCGCGTGCACAATAAGAAAGGAAACCAGCTAAGGACATGAGAGGGAAGAGCCCCTAAACATGCAAGAGTTAAGCCTCCAAGTCTTTGTTAGAAGGAAAGGAAGGAAAACCATGCATGATCTGCTAATAATTGAAAAAAGAAAAAAGAAACCAACCCAAGGAGAGATACCTGGAGGGAATACCAGGCCTGAAGAGCTTTTCACTGTCTTCACGGGAATTATTTTAACAGCAGAAACAGAGCGCGCACGTAAAGGGTCGGCAGTTGCTGAAAACACAAAAGGGTAAATGGTGCATCCAGAAAGGACATTTGGGAAACACTCAGGCAGCTGAGGAACTGGGCAGGGACAACAGGAGGAAGTCGCCCACACGAGAAGAACAATGGGAAGAGCAGTAGATGTGGTCGTCTCAAACAGCCTGCCTTCTCTCTCCGGAGTCCCCGCCAAGATGGCAGAGCCCCTCCCCCGTCCCCCCCCCCCCCCCCCCCCGCCCCGTCCCCTATACACAGTTGGTCAGTGCTTGTCTGCACCTCCTGCCACACCAGGAACGTGCCAAGGCTCCGGACAAAGAGGTTTCCAGACACGCGAATGGCCTGGCACACAGCAGAAGGGGAGAGCACTTAGGGTCCGAGGGGCCCCTGGGAGAATACTGGGGTGTCTGTGCTGGTGGCAGGGCTGAGAGGAGGAGAACTCCCTCCTTGGGCCCCTGATGAGTGCAGGAGGGAAGGGAACACGCTGGTGAGCTGCCTCCCCACCATCACAACTTCTGGGGTCCTTCCTGTGCCTATTCTGACCACCATGGGCCCCTGTCCCTGAGCAAATCAGAACCTCCATGTGTTGGGCAGCAGAGGGTCTAGCTTAAACCCAGGCTGTCCTGGACAGGAGGCTGCCAGGCATCCAACGCACACTCAAGATTCCGGGCAGCACCCACGTCCACAGTCCAGGATGCTGACCCCCAGGCAGGCCATCGGAGAGCTAGCAGAACAGCCCAGGACATGGCCAGGGCAGCTGTCCTCATGTGCTGGACTCCCCTGCTTCTCCCTCTGAAGTCGTCCCCAGCCCCCCCTGCCCCAGATCCTAGAGCCTCAGAGGTAGCACATTCCCAAACTCCCCTTCGTACCACGTGCAGGGGAGCCTCCCCTCCCCCTGCCTCTCCAGTGGGAGCAAGCAGAGATGGAGCTCAGGCCCTATGGTGCCAGGTCACCCCACTGAGCCCACTCAGACATCTTCTGGCCCCATATCTATGTAATAACTGGGGGATAAGGGCTGCTGGGGAAGCAAGACCGTCACTAGTGCATCAGTATCACGCTGGTGAGCCAGTCAGGGGACAGGAGGGGAGACAGTCCCCTCAGCCACAGAGCGCTCACCTTCCAGTCCCTCACACTGCTGCCTCGTAAGGCAGTCACACAGCACATGGCCACTGATAACTAAGTAGACAGTAACAAGCATGCTGCACATACGGAGATACAAACCCGCTCGCACGACGAGCCCACTGTCTGCTCCTTATGACCACGTGGGAGACTGGCTGGTGGGAGACTCCAGCTACCTCTCACAGAGGAAGAAGCAAGAGGCTCGGTGCGACTCAGAGTCATCCAGCTCCTCAGGGAAGAGGCTGGAGCTCAGCTGTCCTGGCCCATGGCTCAGTGACTTCCCCAGGCCACCACGACGACCTTCAGGTGACATGTGCTGCCTCCTTTCCATACGAGCGCTGCATCTTACTGAGTGGAGAGTAGACGCCATGCCCACCTGCCGCCTTCGCCCACAGCCCTGACGTCTGCTCCGGGGAGGACATCAGCCACAGGGACGGGGCTGACGGCCTCACTGCCCTCTAACACCCCCTCAGTGTAACTTAGCCAAGATCGCCCAAGTCCCTGAGGACACGTCCCACACTAGGAGTGGAGAAGGGGGGTCAGGGAGGGAAGCAAGGAGGCAAGGGCCACAGAGGAACCGACCCCGAAACTACCTGGGCCCCCATCCCCCAGCTCCTGCCGGGCTCCGCACCTTCCCTTCCCTGCTGCTCCCCCCACCACCCCCGACTTCGCACTTGGCCCTGTCTCAAGAGGAATACTTGGCTGAACCAGATGGAAGTTACAAAGGCCAAACAGGTCACATTCCGAAATTACTCTGTGAGAGACGGTGCGTTCTGACCTGACTGCCCAATAACAGGACCTTTGCCCCCTCTCTTTGAGACCATAAAATTTAGAAGCACGAGCAAGGATGGAATCAGTAAAACCCAGAATCTGAAGCAGGAATAAAACATCGCAGAACATCTCATTTCCTCATTTTCTAGCTAAGGGGACGCACACGCATAAAAACAGTGGACCTCCCGAGATGTCCGTCCGTGAGCAGAACCGGGACACGAGCCCATACCTCATCACTCGGCCCAGGCCGCCCTGCAGAAGTGACATGGGAGCCCTGGCCACTTGGGCAGCTGTTGAGAGGCTGAGGAGGAGAGAGCACAAGGCACATGGGGCCTCAACGGTCATCTTACCCGTCACTCACTTCCCACTTAAATCTTTTGTCCTAAAATTTTTAAAAACTGAAAACCGAGGACACACATGAAACTAATGCCACAGAAGTAACTGATTTCAGCAATCAGAGGTTCTTGCCTCTGGGTCAAGGCTGGGATCGGGTCACTATTTACAGCCACTCCAGGTAAGGGAGTGGTAAGGGAGACTCCAGGCTGATAAATGCCATTTGCACCAGGCGAAGTCCTCGCTTGGTGTACTTGACCTGTTGTTATCCACATCCTGTGAATGAGGGACAGGTTTTACCATGTGACTTCACAGTGGGAAAGAGCAGCCTCGGACCCATGAGAGGCAAGAAAGTGCTCTCACTCTCAAGGTCGGCATGGGAGACAGGTCTCCGGTTCACAGCCCAGTGCAGCCAGTGACTGCTTGTACTGGGAGCGGCCCAGGCCCCACACACTCCATGCCTTCTAGAACTGCTTCATGACAGCCAGCCGGGCTTCCCCGCAAGTGCTTACCTTTGTCCTGCCCATTGCTACCTGGCGCCAGCCCGTTGACCACAGCTTTAGAAGCACCAACGTCACATTCTGAAAGAGAGACAAAGAGCACAAGGCTTATGATCATCTCTCCCCAACATTTATTGAGTCCTGTGTGTGTGTGTGTGGCATGCTGGGGACAGGCTGGCTTTGTGCCTGGAGAGGGCCCCCTTGGGCACCATGGGAGAATTCTGAGAATGCTGTGTGGCCTGAACGAGAGAACGCAAAGGAGAGAACGCAAAAGCTATTTGGGGATGGGAAGTATGTGGTAGGTGATGCAAATTCTCCTGCCTCCTTGCTATGGCTTCATTGCTTACATTTTTAAAAAATCTGCTTCATTCCCTCAGAATGGCATCTCCTGAATGACAAAGGCTTACCTACTCCCTGGAAGGCAGACTCAGGTGCATCCCGGAGCGTCCAGAGTGAGAGCTGTCAGAGGATGGAGACCTCAGGCTCTCTGACACCCTCCTTCACCCCACCCACACCCACCATCATCAGAGGCATGCTATCTGTCCCCTGAAATGTCTCTGGACACTGCACCTCATCCCCCCCAACCACACTGCCTCCATTGAGGCTCTTCAGTTACTATCCCAGAGAGGACCCGGCTTCCCCCACCAGGCCCCCTGCCTCTGTTCTGTCTCTTCTCCACCCCCAGTCAGTCGGCCTCCAGACAGCACTTTCTAGCTCCTGATCCAACCATGGCCCTCCCTGGGTTACAAAGTCCCTGGGTGCAGGACTCAGGACAATGAAACAGAACAACGCAATAGGACCTTCTACAACAACTCTACTTTAAGTAGATGGTATTTTACCTCTATTTTGAGAATAAAAATATTGGGGTTTAGTTGGGAATTCAATCATGCATATCATCTCTATGAGGAAAAATGTATTCCGAGTTCTCCAAAATGTACAAATGATTGTTTGGAATACAATTTTTTAGTAAGTTGGATGATTTATATCTTCGCATACCTGGCTATATTTAAATTAACTGATCTTCCTGATAATTAAAAACAAGCAAACAAACAAGCCCCCCGGGGCCAGCAGCTACCTCAAGGACAAAGCCTGGGCAATTTATACGGGATTCTGGGCTCTCCTAACCATTGGTCCTACAGCCTTTTCCTGCTGCGTTTCCCTCCTCCTCTGCCTGCCAAACCCATCTCCTCACAACCCCGGAGCTTGTCAGATACTTCCAGACCTTTAGGCTTGGTTCCTGCAAGACCCACGCCTGGAATGCCTCCTCCCCTTTTCTTACGTCGGGGGAAATCCTGCGCCTCCTTGCGCCTTGCTTCCCGGGAATGTCACCTTCTCTAGGTCAACGGAGACCTTCCTGAGTCTGTGCAGCTGAAGGCACTGGGAGCAGCCTCGCCCTTCCTATGTGGCTTGGAGTAACCCCACCCCCATCCCCACCCCCACCAGCCAAGAGCCAACCAAGCCACAAATACAATCGCAACACCTAGGGTTTCTTAAACATCTACTTGCCTGGATCTGAGGATCCATGCTAACATTCTGTAAGTAGCATCTCATTTTTATCCTTCAGACCCAGTCCCCTGGAGCTGTGAGACAGGAACTCCTATTTCACAGATAAGAAATTTGAAGCGCAGAGAGGACGCCAGGCCTGCCTAAGATCACTATGCTGGGGTCTGAATTCTAGTCTGTTCCATCTCCCAGGGCATCCTCTCACCGCCAACAGGAAGAAGGATTTTTTTATTTTTAAAATAAAAAATTGCGGGACGCCTGGGTGGCTCACTCATTGAGCGTCTGCCTTCAGCTTGGGTCATGATCCCGGGGTCCTGGATCAAGCCCCATGTTGGGCTCCCTGCTCAGTGGGAAGCCTCTTTCGCCCTCTCCCACTCCCCCTGCTTCTGTTCCCTCTCTTGCTATGTCTCTCTCTGTCAAAAAAAATCAATAAAAAAAAAACAACCTTTAAAAATAAATAAATAAATAAAATTTAAAATGGCTCCTGTATAGTCTATAAATACAAACTAAATACCTTCTTTATGAAAGAGCCTATATATGATCTCCCCAAATGCTGGGGCTGAAGCCCCGTCCCAAATCCCAGGAGCTCTTCTGGCTGAGACTAGGTTACCCACCTAGGCTCTCCTGTCAGCCTCCCTGACATGGCCCACTTTGCCGGGCCCGCCCAGATACTCCTGGATCCAGACATGAGCAGGGCCATCACCCCTCCCGACCAGCAGCCTGGACCTCCCGACACTGGCCCCATAGGTTCTGTCCTGCTCGCTGCCCCATCCACCTCCAGAAGAAGCCCAATTCTCCCAGATGTCAATATCTCCCTAGCACCTACATTCTTGGGATGGATGGAAGGAGGGTGTTGGCCAGAAATCCAAGTAAAAGAAGTATCACAGGTTCCATCACCCCATCTGCTCTTTCTGTCACTCTCTCTTCTCCCTGCACCTGTCAGAGTTCTTCTTCACTATCTCCTCTCTGGAACTGCAGGCCTTGCTTCGGCCCCCCCCCCCCCAACGCTAGCACTGGGGCAGCCTCTCAGCTGCTACCAGGCCCAGCCCCATGCATTTCCTTTCCTTTCCTTGCTTTCTTTTCATGAAACATAGCGAAACTTGAAGAAAATTTGCAAAATTGTGCCAGCACCTCCGATTCTGATCTCTTCGGCCCACTGTGCTGATGCCCACAGCCTGGCTTTGCCTCAGCTCCACCACACACCAGCTGGTTATGCCAGGCAAATCCTCCACCTCTCCGGGCCTCAGATGCTCCATGTACAGAATAGGATGGGATACACCATGCTCCCCTTTGTGGGTCTGCCAGAAGAATGCAATGAAAGAACAAACCAAAGCCCCTTCCCTGGTGACTGGCAGTCCAGTCCAAACTTGGAATAAAATGAATGCATCAGTATCTTTGGGGTAAATGCCCAGCAGTGCAATTGTAGGGTCATAGGGTAGCTCTATTTTTAACTTTCTAAGGAATCTTCACACTGTTTTCCAAAGTGGCTGCACCAACTTGCATTCCCACCAACAGTGTAGGAGGGCTCCCCTTTCTCCACAACCTCTCCAACTGCCTTGTTCATTTTTTGCCATTCTAACTGATGTAAGGTGGTATCTCAATGTGGTTTTGATTTGATTTCCCTGATGGCTAATGATGATGAGCACTTTTTCATGTGTCTGTTAGCCATTTATATGTCTTCTTTGGAGAAGTGTGGGTATTTACCCCAAAGATACAGATGTAGTGAAAAGGGGCACATGCACCCCAATGTTCATAGCAGCAATGTCCACAATAGCCAAACTGTGGAAGGAGCCAAGATGCCCTTCAACAGATGAATGGAAGAAGATTGGTCCATAATAATAATAATGGAGTATTCCTCAGCCATCAGAAAGGATGAATACCCACCATTTGCATCAACACGGATGGGACTGGAGGAGATTATGCTGAGTGAAATAAGTCACACAGAGAAAGATACATGGTTTCACTTATTTGTGGAACATAAGGAATAGCATGGAGGACATTAGGAGAAGGAAGGGGAAAATAAAGAGCGGGGGAATCAGAGGGGGAAATGAACCATTAAGAGACTATGGACAGAGGGTTTTTTTTTTTAATATTTATTTATTTAACAGAAATCACAAGTAGGCAGAGAGAGGGAGAAGCAGGCTCCCCGCTGAGCAGAGAGCCCGATGTGGGGCTTGATCCCAGGACCCTGAGATCATGACCTGAGCCGAAGGCAGAGGCTTAACCCTCTGAGCCACCCAGGCGTCCCTGGACAGAGAGTTTTAGAGGGGAAGGGGGTTGGGGGGGGATGGGTGAGCCCAGTGATGGGTATTAAGAAGCACGGATCGCATGGAGCACTGGGCGTTATACACAAACAATGAATCATGGAACACTACATAAAAACTAGTGATGTACTGTATGGTGACTAGCACAATTTAAAAAATTACATAAATAAATAAATAAATAAAGCATCATTTTCATACTTCTCTTTCCACCAAAGGTTAACACAAATGTTTTCTACATAGCTGCTTTCTTCCTAATGATCACTTTTAATAGTAGCACAATATTCCACCAAGTAAATACACATAATGAACTACTCATTCCCTACTTTCATGTAGGTGATGTTTTTGTTTCCTCTGAATTAAGACAGGAATTCCCAAGAGTGGGATTATCAGGTCAGAGGGTCTGGATTTTTTGGACTCTTTCTATAAAATGCTCTCTTAGCACCACGCCTGAGAGTGAACCTGGGAGAAGTCCCGCAAGCCTGGCCACACCCTCCCCTCCTGCCACGCCCTCCCTTCTTCCTCCTGCACTTATGCACGCAGGGAGCCACAATGCCTGCTTAGGCTCATCCTGGTAGAAGACCCAGAAATTTTAGCTGCAGAGCAGAGGTTTTAAATTAAAAAAAAAAAAAGAAGAAAGAAAGAAAGGAGAAAAAAAAAGGCACTTCCCAGCCTGTTTTAAATGACCACAAAACCAAAAAGCCAAGCAAACAAAAAGAAAAAATGAATTACAAAGCAGGAGCTCCTGGCAGTACCCAAGTCCACTTGGAGGTGGAAAAAAGGTGTATTTCTTCTTCGCATGCAGCAAAAGGGCTCAGAACAAGCCAAGTCCCCCTCCTTGCAAGGAGGAGACGTGAGCTGATAACCTAGGACGGAACACTGGCCACACGTTGGGCATTGTACATGGGAGGTACATTGTCACTTATTCCTCAAGGAGTCCCAGTGAGCTGGTGTTTTCATGCTGTTTCACAGAGGAGGAGCCCCTGCAGGCCAGAGGCCACACAGCTGGTCTGGGAGGAAGCCAACTTGAGGCCCTGTGCTGTTCCACCTGGAGCCCGCCTGGGTCCTAAGCACATACCATCCTGCACAATTTAGGATTTGGCTAAGAGGACACTGTATGTTGTACATGGAAAGGATTGTTTTTAATCTGCAGAGATCTCTAATGATACTCCAAACATAATACAGAATTAGGAGACCCCTGAATGAGCTGCTACTTGGTCACCTGCCCCATACCCCACAGCTTGCAGGCCTCGGGAGGCTCCAGAGCACACACAGAGCCAAGGTGGGCCTTAATCTCCAGAGGGAAACTTCTCTGCCTTGAATTCTGCGCTGGACAGCTCACAGCTCTTGGCTGCATAATAAGTAGGGACCTGTTCACTTCTCTGACCTCGCTAGCCCGCACTTTCTACCCCAGCTCTAAACTAAAAACACGCAAAACTGGTCATTTCTTTATATCTTGATTTTTTACTACCAAAGGCATAGCAAGAATGTGAACAACTGCTTGTCCAGCCTCGATGGAGGGAGTGTTAGATTAGCTCTCACCCTGGGGCAATTACGGTCAATTTGTTTCCTTCTGTAGCTGTCACCAGGATTAAACAATGCCACTGAGGTGTACACATATGTCAACATTTATCACCCAGGATACTGAAAATATCTGCAGTTCAAGGTATGTCATTTCTATCTCAATAAAGTTGTTTAAAAAGAGAAAAAGGGAGATATTATAAAGATTAGGATATGGTGCATGTTAAGCCTACTGCTTAACACATAGTAGGCACTCATTAAATCATTCATAATGAAGGCGATAGTAGCAATGACAACTTATGACAGGGCTTTGGGGCTTGCCCAGGTCTCAAAAAATAAAAAATGAAATGCATTTGGGGCCTTAAGAAAAAGTGGGAAATCTGGGTAAACTACCCAGTCTTGTAGATTGGTCCAGAAGAGAAAGACAGGGTTTTAAATGGCTTACCAGAGCTCATGGTGGTAACAGGACAAGTCTTCTGCTACTGGGGCTCCGAAATGCTCTGCAGGAAAACAGACAACACAACAACACAACTGATGAATGGCAGCTTCACAGGAAGTCCCCATCGTGTGCAAGAAAAATGCAGACACCACACATAATCAGGAGTCACCGGGCCAGGCTCCTAGTTCTTGGTTGGCTGCCTACAAACATGACCCTGACCTTGGACACAGCACTCAACCTCCTTGGCCTCAGTTTTGACACCTGTACTTGGTTTAGATACTAAGCAAGATCTCTTCCACTTCTAAGATTCTATTAAAAACCTTAAGTTCCATGAGTCCACCTAGGTCAAGGAGAGGGTAAAGGCAAGAGAGAACCAAATTGTAGGAGAAAGAGGTAAAAATCACAACACAAAATGACTACCAAAGGATAATAAGTTTATATACATATAATTATGCAAATGGAAATGTTCTAGATGCTTTAAATACATTCGTTTGATCCTCCCAATGGCCCTACAGAGTAAAGCACTGACACTGTATTAGTTTACATGGATAAGCAGACCAAGGTACAGAGGCAGGCACAGCTTGGTACAGGGACCCAGACAGACAGACTCGAAGGCCCAGGCCATCAGGTTCTGCATCCTACTGGCCTGAGGGGGTGAGGTGGGGAGGCACTCTCTTGATTCACAAAGACCAGCCCCTCATTTAGTATGGTCTCATCCCAAGTCTGCAGCAACCGCTGACCTGCTTTCTATCACCAGAGTCTAACCGTGCCCCTAGAATGTTACCCCGGTAGCGCGGTGCATGTACGTTCTCGCATCTGACTTCTCTCACTTAGCACACTGCCATCTAGTAATTGGCCATTGTGTGGGGTCTACTTCTGGACTTTATTCTGCTCCATGAATCTGACTTGAGCCCAAAACTCACTGTCTTGATTACTCCAGTTTTAGACTAAGTCTTGAAATCAGGTAGTGTGAGTCACCCAACTTTGTTCTTATTCAAAAATCATTTTTGGCTCTTCTAGATCCTTTGCATTCTCACAAAGTTGAGAACCCTACCCACTTCTACCAAACACAAAACAAAAAGCATGCTGGACTTTTGACTGGGATCCTGCTGAATCTATACATCAATCTGGATGGAAATTAACATTTTACCAATATTGGATTTTCTAATTCCAGAGAGTAGACCCTCTGTCCCCTTACGCAGGTCTTTCATTTCTCTCCACAATATTCTGTAGTTTCCAAAACACTGGTCTTGCAATATTTTAAATAGAAAGGCCTAAGTGAACATACTGGAAAGACAATCTGAAAAACAAGACTTCATGATATGCAGAAACTTGCTATTTAAAGTGTGGTCCAGAGACTAGCAACACTGGCATCATCTGGGTGCTTACTAAGAGTACAAAAACTCAGACTCAACCTATGGGGACTGAATCTGAATCTGCATTTTAACAAGATCTCCAGCTGGTTTCTCTGCACTCAAAAATGTGGGAAATAAATAAATAAATAAAAATAAAATGTGAGATGCAATAAGGGAGAGGAAATCAACTCCCTAGTTCATGAATCATGCAATAAGAAGGCCCAGGTATTGGGGCACCTGGATGGCTCAGTGGGTTAAGCCTCTGCCTTTGGCTCAGGTAATGATCTCAGGGTCCTGGGATCGGGCCCCACATCGGGCTCTCTGCTCAGCAGGGAGCCTGCTTCCCCCTCTCTCTCTGCCTGCCTCTCTGCCTGCTTGTGATCTCTGTCAATTAAATAAATAAAATCTTAAAAAAAAAAAAAAAAAAAGGCCCAGGTATGGTCTGAGGGTCTGCATAAGGAGACATGCATTAGTTTCCTTTTCAACACACTGAAGCCAGACACTGGCTTCCTCCATGGGTGGCTGCCTTGCTCACTGTCCTTGGAACAGAGTAGAATGCTAGGGGCAAGAAGGAAATCATTCTAAGTCCTCTGCTGCCCAAATCATTAGTAGCTTGTCTCCGTCAAATACACCTGAGACTACCCGTGACTTTCAACAGCCCCTGACCCATGGAAACATTTGTTCTTTCAGTGAAGGAACACAACCTGCTGTATTCTGTATGCCCTTGTGGCTTCCAATCCTGGTTTTAGGGCATCCCAGTTTGGCTCTAGGACCAAAAAGGCTGTTATGATAGCATCCAAACATTTTTATTTTTTAAAATAATTTTAATAGTTTCATTAAGGTTTTCTTCAACTTTTAAACTGATTAAAAAGGGTTTTTGATTCAAGCATGAATCTATCTTAATAAAATGTGAGTTTTCTTTCTTTACAATTCTTTCTAACCTCTATCTGCAGAAGTAGCATTTACATATAGTTGCAAACGTAAATGTCTGGCCAGCTTTGTGTTTTACTTTTTAAATTAAAGATTTCATGCACATCTTTCTGGATTTTTACCCAGTCATCATATCCATTATTTTAATGGCTATATAATATTTTATTGCATTAACCCTCCATAATTCATTTACAACTTCCCTCTGGACAGTTCCGTTTAATTCATCTTCATTTTAAAAATAAGTACATAGCCCAAACGCATTCTTAGGCTAGGAAAGAGATGAATGGAAATGTCCTACGAACCAAACAAAAAAGATGCCTCAACTCACACATGATGAATATCACCATCATACTTGGGTAGCCCTTTGTGCATGTAGTATTTTTCAATGTAGACACTAGTAATTTCTAAGTGTCAGCCCCACTCTTGCTTGCAAAGTGATCTAATGTATGTCCGGTCGGGGAGAGTACACACATATCACCACTTGGCCACAAGTGCCCAGCAACCACAGTAGAGGTCAGCTACAGCACTCTCTGGGAGCCCCCCCATGCCAGGTGTTAACCAGTTAGTGGCTGGATTGTAAGATGGAAGAAGGCTGGACCCAGAGTGCTAGGACACTATTTTAATAAAGGACTAGCATGACAATAACGAGTGACACCCACCCCACACAGGTGAGCGAGCACCGCTCTGGACACAGACTTTCTGGGTCATGGGTTCTGTGGCATGCTCTCATTTGGTGACTGAATCAGCAGCAGGTAACACAAAGGAGGAGGGGACGATTTAGAATAAAATAAGATCTCCAGCAAGAGCGGCAGTGGTGGCTGTGCCAAGGAGGGAGCCCGGTGTCCAGTCCTCACCAGTGGAGGTACAGCCTATCCCAACTACCGCGGGACCAGATTTCAGCTCTCATTCCACCTAACTCAGGTTCCTTGATTTCCCGCCTCTGTTCGGAGGGCCATCCTCCAACCTCCCACAAATTTGGAACTACCCAAGCTTTTACCAATAAACCCCATTTCCATTTGAGTTCACAAGAGGCAGTTTCCAGTCATTTGCAACCCAAGAATCTTGACTGGCACCAGGTGGGGGGAGGAAGGAGTCCCAGAGGTTTCGTTCCAAGAGAAGAATCTTCATTCCTCTCTCCTCAAGTGAGGCCATCCAGATCTGAATCTCAAGGGGGCTCTGCAAAGGGTTTTCTCTCTACAACCTCAAGAGCTCAGAGTCAGGGCAGCGAGGCTGGGATTGGGAAGCTGCACAAAGAGAGTCCGACCAGCATGCTGTAAGCCTTGAAAGTCATCATCTAGTCCCTGTGGTTTATTCAGAGATAATGCAAGCTATTAAAATCACATGTAGAATGTGAGAGTTTATTTTACATAAAACCCCCTGACACTTAATATTTACTTAAAAACTAAGCTGTAAAGGGTTTGATTTGGTTGAGAACATGATGCCATGTCTTTGGAATTTCTCCCACAAGTCGCCTCCAGAGGCAGCAAGCGCCTTTTGGGTAAAAGCCAAAAAGATAAACAGCGCCATCTAGTGGCAGAACCATACAGCTCCAAGTGCACGGCTATCCCCCAGTAAATCACAGGACCTCCTCAGAGTCACAGCTTGGGTGGGCCAGCGAGGGTCAAACCTGGGCAGTCAGGACCTACCGTACTTGGGTAAAGGACCACAGCATCAACACAGACATTCCGCCAGAAGAACAAAATGTAAAGTAGCCAGACTTGTTAAGAATGCATCTGGATAATTAATGGTTCTGCGTGGTCCCTCCCTAATTCCACGACCCTGTAATTCTGAGATAAGTCTTGATGACACAGAGTGAATAATTACTAAAAAGCAAAAGTTATACTCGTGCTTCCAGCTCAAAATCGGATCCAATAACTAAATATGGGTTGTTTACTAGGGAAGGAAAGAAGGTCCTTCCTTATATGGATAGCTCAGGGATGTAGGATAGGACAAGGGAAGAATTAAGTTCGTCTGTAAAAATGAACTCAAGGTCCAGCAAAGATTCTTGGAAAAGAAGGAGACTCAGACTGACCTCTCACAAAAGGTGCTCCAGCTTCTCCTATGCCCTATGGTGTTTGGCTTCCATTGTTTCTCCCCACATATATACTAAGGATGTGTACGTACACACACACACACACACACACACACACTTTTAAATTTCCACTGGAGAGACACTGTGTCATCCTCAGGACCAAGCACTCAGTGGGTGCTCAGTCATGAATACTGTCCTTGTCTTTATTTAGCCTTCAGAACCTAATTTTGGAGTCTTCTCTTCAAGACAACCAAGACCCTCCTTAAATCCAACGTAGCTGTCTAAAAACAAGCTAGCTTCCCATTCCAACCAAACCCTGGTTATACTCTGGCTTTGAAATCCAGTCTGGGACTTGATTTGATATATTTGCAGCTACTTCCTTCCAATGGCTTGAAAAGAACAGTGACAGCTCACGAAGGCCCAGAATAAATGCTTGGCCTCATTGCTTTTTATACTTTGCTGACCCACACGGCAAAGTCAAATTTCTCCAATTTTTCAACAGCTCATCCTCTTCTCAATCTCTATTAATGGTCATTTCTCTCCAAATGCACTCTCCACCTTGTTGAAGAGGGTGCAGAAGGTTCTCCACAAAGCCAGAAAGGGTACACACTGAGCTGCTGGCACTGCCCTTTCAAGGGAGGAAGATAGGATCAACTTAACCCTGACATTAACTTAGGTAATGGAATCCCATGACATAGCGGTGAGGGGGAGGGTCAAAACACAACAAGCACAAGATTTTTGTGA